TCAAAAGACACATAAGAATCTAAGTTAGAAGTTATGTAGGAGAACTGTCTATTTCGTTCCTGCCCCAATATATAATACATACACACACACATACACATGAGAGAGAGAGAGAGATAGAGAGAGACAAATCTATGTGAGACAAAGTAACCTTAGGATAGTTTTACAATATAGCACTCAAAATACCTCAAATATCAATTAGTTTATGTGTTGTTACATATATAAGAAAAATTCAAGAAAATTAGGAATACTCTCACACTAACATTGCTAATATATTGAAATTGATTTCCTACATATTTCAAAAGTAAAGTTTCTCATTGCATTGCTTTTTCTCTACCAACATCTTAGTGACATATAAAAAATCCTGCAAAACATATTATCTGGTATCCTGTAGACCAAAAAGAAAAGCAAAAAAATACCGTTATACTAAATTTAAACATTTTAAACCCTTCCACGTATCGAGGTGGATTACGTCTGAGGCGCTCTCTCTCTCTCTCTCTCTCTCTCACCTACGTTTCCCCTTTCCTCCAGCAACACAAGCCACTGCAGTCAGGCTTCATCGTTATAAATGCAGTCTTAAGATTTCTTTAACGAATGTCTCTAAAACATTGTTACTCTCAAAAATCACTCTTTATGTAGTTTTGGCTTCCATTTTAAATTGCTAGCAAAAGAGACCACTTTAAGCTACAAGCTCTTGGCTTAAAACTCTCCTCGGCAACTCGGAGTACAAATAAGTAATTGTATGTTCAATTTTACATGCACAGAGAAAAAGTAGGGGCAGGAAGGATTATCTGTGTAAAGTTGTGCTTATGTTTCTCTTGGAAACATTGCTAGTTTCCTGTGAACATCCACTTCTGACATGGATATAACAGTACACACATCCACACTTTGACATGACTACCCACTGAAATGGATGTCCACTGACAGGACACATTCCCAACTTAGAACTCTGGGGAACAGGGTAGATACTCATAAACGAAGGCAATTGATAGGACAGTTTATTATTTTGGAACAGGCAGCACAGAATCTGAAATTGCAGTGTGCTCAAGATTTCAGCCAAGACAAAGTGTGCCCTATAAGTGTCTCGTGGTAACTTGGAGCAAAGCCAAAACACACAGTGCTGGAGTTCTGAGGGTTAAATCATCACATACTATCAACTTGAACAGCATGGTCATTGAAATCATTTGCCCTGAAAGTAACTTAGAAAGAAACTCAAGGAAAGCAGTTAGAACAAGTCCATCATTGTTTCTAGGGATGTAAAAATGTGCCAAGTGTGTTTTTAGAGGTATTCTGATGCACACACATAAACCCGGTATCTTGTTATTTTTAAATCCTTTTAATAAGGAATCATTTCAGTGCTTTAGAAGTAGATTGTCTGCCATATATTTAAAACGTATTTCCAATTTAGCACAACAAACCCTCCAAGTAAGTCCTCAACTCCAAAATAAGCTAAAGGTGGAAAACATAATTTAGAATTTTTAAATACTTTATAAATTTGAATCTATATTTAAATAAAAGTCAGTCTTGTTTGGAAAAATCTGCAAAGTCTTGGCTTAAAAATTATTTTTTAAATCATTTTACAGGGGAGCAGTTGGAACATACTACAAATGGCTGATGGTAATCAAATAAAAGCACCTATTAAAAATCCATGTTCTCATAACCCTAAGGAATTTTGTTATTCAATAGTTAAAACCCTTCAAACAACCACACTGAGTTTCCCATAATCATCCATGGTCTCAAACATCCAAACCAAAAATGAACTAATATTCTCACCCTGTTTTAAATGATATTGTAAAGGGTCCAAGCTTGATAATGAAGTGAGAAACACTGATTGGCTGTCTGGGTGGTGTAAAAATAGTAACAACTTTTGAGAACAAAAAGATCAGTCAATACATAAAGACAGTTATTTGTGGCATGAAAGATAAAATCAAATTTGCCTAGGAAATCACTGTAAGCTGCTGCAACCTGAAATACCATTTACCTTGAAATTTATAAAATAGAAGGCATGCTTGGTGACAAGAGTTCAAGTTTTTCAAATCGTTATGTTTGAATCTTTAGTCATATGGGAATATTCAACGCAAGTCCAACTGGTTTTGAAGGAACCAAATGTTATCAAATGATAATAGAAATTAATTGAAATGTAAGATATTTAAATATTTTAAGTGAATTACCTGCTAGGCGGTATTAATTTTCATTCATTTTAATTCTTTGCTAAAAACAATGTGATAATAAAGCAAGCAGCAGTATGATTACACAGTGGCTATTAGGGCTAACATGTTGGTGATTATTATATGATTTTCATATGCTAATCTCTAAAAATAAGTGCAATTAAAAATGTGCTTTATGGCACTTGAACTAAAGAAAAAAATTAGAGATGAACTTCGTTTCTATAGCATTATAATGCAAAGACAGCATATCAATCTAAAATGCTTTAGGATATAGACCAAAAAAGCCTTATGTGAAACTCTTGTAATTTCTCATAATTATACTGTAAATGTTGATGTAACATTTAGAAACATTTTGACATTTCTTGAAATAATCGGTACATACAGAGCATTATCCAGGATCCTGATCTGTGCTTCATTCTCCTTTAAAATAGTAAAGATTCTAAGTTCATTTACTATATTATGAGAGAGCCATATTGACAGAGTATTCAGAAAATCAGATAAATATATTCCAGAAGACAACGTCTATATTTCAGCCAAACAGAATACAATTGCAAAGAAATAAAGAGGAAAGGTCAAGCTTTTGATATGGCACCATGACCTTATTTTTGTCTTGGGTGATACCCACTACAGTAACATAAATTAACACTTGAAAAAACTGAAAAGAAAAAAAAAATCTCTGAAAACTAAAAAAGAACTAAGTGATTAGATATAACTACTTCTGGGAATAGCGACTTGGATGTTACTAGCGTTTCAGTGCTTTTCAAGCAAGGATTTGACCAATATAAAACTCACTGGAAAATATAAAGCACATACGGTGGCAAAAACAATTTTAAAAAAGAAGAAAACTTTAGGGTTAATATCACCTGATTTAAAGACTTACAGTAGTTCAGCACAACATTACAATGACATCAAGATAGATAAATCAGCAGAATGGAATAGAAAAATCTAGAAATTGCTCAATTCACAAGTAAACAGATGTTTTCTGTCAGCAAAGAATAGTTTTTTTAGGTAGTCAAAAAAAGACAATAGATTCGTACCTTATATCACAGGAAAATTAACTCAAATGGGTCATAATTCTTAATGGAAACCTAAATGCATAAAATTTCTGGGAAAAAATATTGAAAAAAAAACAGAAGAAAATGTTTGTAACCTTACGGTATCAAAGATTTCTTGGAACTCTCAAAACATGATATATATGAGAAAACACTGATAAACTGGACTTAATTAAAATGAAGAATTTCTGTTCCTCAAAATACACTTTCAGGATAATCAAATGACAAGGCACATTTGAAGAAGATTTTTGCAAAATGAGTATCTTTTTAAGGACCTACAGTCCATTATATAGAGAGAACTTTCCAAACGAAAGGAAGATAGCTCAACTGAGAGGAAGTGGGTGTAAAGAAGGAACTGTAAGCCATAATACAAAGTAGCCTATATAATACAAGGTAGCCTTCACATAAGAAAAAAAAATAGTTATGTAGTACACCGAATAATGGCATCCCAAATTTTATACACATTGTCATATCTAAAATTCAAAAATATGACCTTATTTGGATGCTGATGTAATTTACAATACTTTTACAGTTGGATTATCTTGCATTTGCCCAGTGGGCTTTATGTCCTTGTAGAGGTAGCCACAGAGAAGTGGGTTTTAACACAAAAGTTAGGACCCCACTTGGGTGCCCACTCCATTCGATGCACCTGGTTTATGCTCCAGCTTCCTACTAATGTGCATCCTGGGTGGAGTGAGCAGTGAGGTGCAAGTTGTTGGGTTTCTGCCCCCCTGAGAGAGACCCAGGTAGACTCCTGGATTCCTGGTTTTGTCTGGTCCTGCCCTTCCTGATATGGGCATTTTGGAAGTATAGCAATCAATGGAAAATCTCAATCTCTTTCTCCTTTACTGCCTTTCAAATAATTTTAAAACAGAGGCAGGCAGAGGAAACTTTGATCATGGGAAGCAGGAAGGCCATGTGATAAAAACAAGGCTGAGAGGTTGGATGCTCAGTCACAGACTTGGAAGATGGAAGAGAGCAGCCACAAGCCAAGGAATACAAGACTTTGTTCAGTGGCCGCAGATAGGGGACTCAATTCTTCCCCACATCCTTTGGAGGGCACTCAGCCCTGCAGACACACCTTGGTGTTAGCAAACTCATTCACAAACGTGTCTGACAGAACTCTGACAGATTGTTTCTTCTGCATTAAGACAATGTTTTAAATTTTAGTTCTTTAATGTTATTTAAGAAGAGGGAGAAACTGACCACAAAGATAAAGATAATGCTCCCTTCTGCTGACTGGGTCCCCCAAAGCCCTAAACAGAACAGGGCCAGCCAGAAACCAGGAGCCCAGAGTTCAACCTAGATTTCCACAAGAATGGCAGGGCACCAGCTTTGTCATCTGTCACTTGCTGCCTCCGAGATGTACATCAGGAGGAAATGGAATGGGGAGCAGAGCCAACGCTCAAGGCCACATACCCTGGAACAGGACATAGACACTCTCAGTGGTGCCTTAACTGCTGCATCAGATACCCACTCCTGCGTTAAGTTACTATAGCAGTCACAGGAAACTCACAGATGACAGACACATGGCACCTGAGACAATGTGCAGCACCATTAGCAACGAGGAAAATGCAAACCAAAGCCATAAGACAATACTGTAGACTTCATAATATAATACAATATGGACGTGAGAGTGGGAATCAGCCAATAACACATAGATAACCTGCTTTGAAAACAGTTCAGTAGTTTCTCTAAAATGAGCATGTATGGGATAACCTAGCCATTCAAAATGCAGTTATTGACTCAGAAAAATAAAGTAAGCTTCCACACAAACACTCACATGGGATGGTCCCACGGCTTTCTCTTCAATAGCTCCACACTGGAAACCGTCCACAAGTTGTAAGCACACAAACTGTGCTGCATGCACACGATGCTGTAAAACTCAGCGATGATGTGAAATGAACTGAAAGCATATGAAAAACACGAATGAGTCATAAAAACCAATACGCTGTAAAAACATGGATAAGAAACAATTGTACATACTGTATGTATCTATTTATCTGCACCACCAAAAATTAAAACTATTTCACAGTGTGTGAAAGCAGGGAATTGATGAGGGAGAGTCTGTGGGTAACACAGGAGGGAGGGATTACAAAATGGCATGAAGGAATTGTGGAATGACGGTTTCACATCTGTTTATATATGACAAAATTCACCCATCTGTATACCTAGCTACACTTTGTTGTGCAAAAATTGTAGTTCAATAAACTATTATATATTCAATTTTTGTTTAAATTCCAATTCACAGAATGTTGCCTTTAACATTTCTTTAGAGAGCACAAAACCCTTAAAAAGCTTCAGCTATCTCAGCTATTTTACATATTCTCTTGTAATTCAGTTGGCAATACTGTTTATTCTGCTAGCTAAAATACTAAGATGCCCATGTTTTCTATCTAAGCACCTAAACTTGATATCCAGTTCCAGCTCTTGATTCAGCTTACTGATGATGCAGTCCCTATATGACAAAGGTCATGGGTCAAGTAACTGTGTTCTTGCTACCCACATGGGGGACCTACACTAGATTCTGAGCTGTCAGGTTTGGTTCAGCTCCACCCTGGCTATTGTGAACATCCAGGGAATGAGTCATTGGATGCAAGTCTTCTGACTCAGATAGATGTATAAATTTTATAAAATGGTCAACTTTAAGAAGACAGTGCTGTTTTCTATAAAAATAATATCCTGTATATAAATCTGCTAATTGTTATATCTTACTTGGTTATCCAATTTAATGATCCTACTTCAGATGAAAAAGCCCAGTTAAAAACATTTTTAAAAGACTTGAATTATATTATCCAAAGCATACACAAAAGCTGAAGTATTTGAGTCTCTATCGTCCACGTGTAAGACCAAGTAGAGTTCCTAACTCCTGGCTTTAACATGGACTAGCTCTGGCTGTTGTTGTCACCTGGGGCCAGTGTGCTGGCACAGAAAGTTAACCTACGACCTGCGGTGCCAGTTTCCTAAATGAGTACCAGTTTGCATCTGTCTACGCCACTTCGAATCAGCTCCCTGCTTACGGTCTAGGAAAGTGGAAGAAGATGGCTCCAGTCCTTGGGCCCCGCCACCATTTGGGAGATCTAGAGAATGAGTTCAGCTCCAGCCTTTGCAGCCATTTGGGGGAATAAACCATCAAATGAAAGGTGCTCTTTCTTTCTCTCTTTATATGTGTCTGTGTGTCTCCTCTCTGTAAATCTCTTTCAAATAAAAATATGTTTTAAAAACATACACATAATATGAGCAATTGGTAAAACTATAGTAAAAAAGAGATACAAATCTAAAGATATTATGTAAAACATTTGTGCATATAGAAATGAGTACCTAGTCTCCATTTCAGTATAAACTTTAGCACCTGTGATATTCTTAGTTTTAAAGGTATTTGTAAAAAAAAATTATTAAGCAACAATATAAGAAAAAGCTCATAGGAAAAAAAAAGGCTAGAAAGCAACCACAAAAAATTAAAACTGGTACACAGTTTTTTTCTAATACACATTACCATGACTTTTCAAAGTACGCTTGCATATTTTAAAAACAACGCTTTGCACCAAATGCCTCAAAAAGAAATTTTAAAAAACCCTTCACCTAAATGCTGACAAGAAAAAAAAATCAACTTGACTGTGAACCAACATGAGGCAGCCATATGAGGGCTCTTCAAAAAGTTCAGCAACATGCATATTAGGAAAATAATAAAAAAAACTACACATGGCTTTCAAAATTTTTGCATCCCAAATAAACATAGTTTAATTGTATTATCCTATGACATTTTTGAAGGGCCAGCACATAAAGGACTTGCTGAATGGAAAGGCATCATGAAATAGCCAGTCAAAATGGTTCAAAGTCATGCTTTGTATTAATCTGATCAGTTTTCTTCCTTGGCATACCACCTAACAAATACAGCACAAACCAGTAACGGCAGCACTTCTTTTATTATTCTTGACGTCCAGCTTTGCATGTGTGGATTGCTTGACTGCACTGTCCTACCACTCCTGGTGGAGTGTGGATGCCTCACTGATGTGACCAGGTCATCACTGCCTACTATCTTCAAAGATGCTCAGCTTCCAATCAATTCCACATGCCTCAAAACTACTCTTCAATAATCAATATGAAGCATATATCTCAAACATTTAAATCATGTGTGCAGACCTGCTTTTCAAAATCAAATTCAACATTTCATAACAAGAGAAAACAAAACTTATCATAATTAAACATTTTATATGTCCTTTGCCAAAAATACTCTGTTAGACATAATGTAACCATTAAGTTCAAAACAATTTGTTCACAACTGAAGTCTCTTGCCAAATGTATTTACCTGCGTGGACAATGTAGAATGGCAGATGCTCAAGACTGGTTCAGCTAACGTGAAATCATTCTAATAAACCTAGAGACAAAGAATGAGATTAGTTTATATTTGGTGGCCAGGGCTTCAGTGCACAGCCTAGAGCTGTCAGCGGCCACCGTCCCAACACCGAGAACCATCATGGTGAGAGAGGAGGCCTGAGGGTCCCAGGGAAGCTGGAGCTACAACTCAGAGTTCCTGCCTCGTCCGTGATGCTGCAGTCTCACCACATCAGTGCTTTCCTCCTGGCACGGAGGCCAAGCGCTCTCATCGTCCATGAGCTTAAGCTATTTCCATGAGTTACAATTTTCAAAGTTTTGTTGTTTATTTGAATATGGAAGATAAAATGTAATCATAACAATTTGCGGGGTAAGGGAATTAAGATGCATCGTCATTCTACAGCTAGAGTTAGAGTAGTGTAATTACCAGTGTATCACAGGTTAATGCAAGAGGATGCAAGAGCAGAATCATGCTAACTATGAATAAAGAAGAGGGAAAAAATGAGTTATCCTACAAGTGCTACTGGGCCAATGCCTTAACAACTGGAGAAGAATATTCAAGAATATTCACGAATATTCAAGGCATCTTGAACACTGGTACTGGAAATACATTCCATCTGCGTTAAAAATTTAATTGCAGGGTCCCAGAGCGGTAGCCTAATGGCTTATATCCTTGCTTTGCAATGCACCGGGATCTCATATGTCACCACATTTGGGCCCACATTCCCACACATGAAACTTCGGAGGAGGATATGGTACTGCTCAACTCATATCCTCCCCTTTCTCTTCCTAGGATTCATAGGTAATAATCTACAGCACAAGCTAGTATTTGAAACTGTATCCCAGTTTCTGGTCCATGTCTTGACCCACAACAGTAACAGGTATATGTAAACATGTCCATGTGGAGGCTCCTGTTCCTCTCTGAGTGCAGTTGTGCCTATGCATCAGGTATTTAGATTATTGTGTAACAAGTGAGCAGGTTTACTAAACAACGGAACTGCACTTGGAATCAACAACTTGGACCTGACCACAAAATGGCTCAATTGATTAATTCTTGCCCAAGTTCTGGGATTCCATGTGGGCTTTGGTTTGTGTCCTGGTTGCTCCACTTTCCATCCAGCTCCCGGCTTGTGGCCTGGAAAAGCAGTCAAGGATGATCCAATGCTCTTGGGACTTTGCACCCATGTGGGAGACCCAGAGGAGGCTCCTGGCTCCTGGCTTTGGATTGGCTCAGCTTCGGCTGTTGCAGCTACTTAGGGACTGAACCAGTAGACGGAAGATCTGTCTCTCTTTTCTCTCTGTAAATACGACTTTTAGTAATAACTAACTAAATAAATACTGAAAAGCAGGGGACGTTGCAGTTAGGTCAGTGTAGTCAGGAAGATGATGTGACGTCAGGGTAGCAGGAGTCAGAGCCCACGCTGTAACTATGCTTCGTATAGAGAAAGTAGAATGAATGAGGGTCTGCCTGGAACCCAAGAACAAAGAGGGATTATTTTACTGGCTCGTGTGAGAATGAACATTAAATGCAGCATTGGGTAGTGTCTCAAGAGAATTACACTGTCTTAAAAAGTCTGTCATGAAGTCAGACATTATTCTTCATGGATCTTGGGATTAACTGGTGCTTCCTTTTCATGTGACTCCGTTTGAAGCACAGACACTGTGGGGGCCTAATTTCACTCAGCTTATTCCAAAACAGCTATCATCCCAGATTTCAGAGCTGCAGATCAGACTAAAATATTCAAATCGGATGGCATCTAGAAAAAAATTTTTTAAGCTTATCAAACCCAAAGGGAGGAAAATGGCATTAGTGGCCGTGTTTAAATACATCTAAGTCAGTATGTTTTCTAGAATAAGGAAATTCTGCTAAGGCAAAGGCTGCTGGAAGTCTCCACTTGCAAGTCATCCAGAACTTAGTGGACCAATGCAAATCTGTGAAGATTTAAAACCCAGCTCCAGGGGTAAATTCAGTGGCCTAGCCAGCTAATCCTTTACCTGTAGCGTCAGCATCCCATATGGACACCTGTTTGTGTACTTGATTCTATTCTTCTGATTTCTAAATGGCTTGGGAAAGCTGCAGGAGATGGGTCAAGTCCTTAGGTCCCTGCAGCCACAGGGAGATCCAGAAGAAGCTCCTAGAGGCTCCTAGCTCCTGCCTTTGGATTGACTCAGCTCTTGCCATTGTGGTCGTTTGGGGAGAGAATCAATGGATGTAAGACCTCTCTCTCTCCTTCTCTCTGTATGTATTCCTTTCAAATGAAAATAAACAATTTTCAAGAAACTACAGCTCTAGAATACCTTATTTTTTTTTAAACTTAGACATTCAATAAATAGTAACATAGCCAGATATTTCACCTGATGCTATAGTAAAGAGAAGTCAAAGACTGGGACTTTAAGAGGCAAGCAGCTTACCCCTTGATTCTCCTGTTTTACAGACACTATTATGAAGGTGCCAGAATGTAAGTACTGTCAGCTTATATAGCTGCCATTCGTGAATTTCGGAAAAGATAAGGAGAACCATCATCAGTGGTCTAGT